CCAGCCTGCTCTGGGTGACCCTGCTTGGGCAGGGGGTTGGGCTGGGTGACCCACAGAGGGCCCTGCCAACCCCGAACATTCTGTGATTCTGTGAAATCATCTGTCGGCGCCCCGTGTCGAGTTAAGTGCAGCTGAAGAGGTGCTCAGCCACGGGGAGTGTCTCACGCTGATGCCTTCTGCTGCGCTGGGAGCACAGCAGTGAACCTGAACGGCTTCCCAAGAGGTCTCGGCCTTCTGCATGAGAGGGTACTGACAACCCTGCTGCTGTGGCAAGGCTCGGCAGGTCAACAGCCTCGGTGCCCAGCTCAGGGGGGCCCTCGGCCCTCGCCAGCTACTCCAGCAAGCAGGGGGAACCCCGGGGTGCCGCGATCCCCTCCAAGAGGATGGATGCCCGCAGCGAGGGTGGCTGCTGAGCAGCTCCCCGCCCTCCAGCGCAACTTTGGTTCTTTACAACTTTCCAGGTGTACCTGTGGAAAGGCCTGGAGTTCCCCTGTTCTTTTGAATTTCTATCATTTGTCCTTTCACTGCAGAACTTGGACATGTCTTTAAAAGCCACCTTGTCATGGCTTCCTCTAGGAAGGACACCCGTTGCCCCCAACGTTCCGCACCCAAGCACCCTCTGCTGCTGGAGGGCAAGCAGAAGCCCCTGGGTTTGCTCTGGGGCAAACCTCCACCCTGCCCTGTGGCTGGATTTGAGTAAAACCCAGAGGTTTCAGGCTTCGTTGTGCCCATCGCCACCAGGAGACAGAAAGGAAGGAAGAGGTTTTGTTATGCCAGGGTAAGGCACTCTCGGTGGGCAAGACCCTCCCCTACCTCCAGTGTCTCGGTCCCAGAGCTTCACCGTGCTGTCGTACGAGGACGTGGCGATGCTGGGGGCCAGCGCCGGGCCCCGCGGGAGGAAGACGCACGAGGTCGTGGTCTGGAAGTGCCCTCTGTACTCGCGCAGCCGGCTCCTTGTCTGCCGCAGGTCCCACAGCTGCAAGGCAACAGGCAGCGTGCAGAGCTGGGGCCCTGCTGCTGCCACGCGCCAACACGGAGCTGGTTCACAAGGAAAGGAAGAGGGTTTCGGTTACAGAGCTCCTCGCCTTTGTCCCCGGCTCGTGCTCACAGTCCTGGAGAACTTCGAGCCCCGCAGGACTTCTCACCGTGGGTGACTGAGCACACCCGTTAGAGCTGACGGGCTAGGACTGTGCCAGCAGACAACCGCGTCTCCAGCCCGCTCCCGTCCTCAGCCCTGCTCTCCCTGGGATGGTCCCACCCTCCTGGTGCTCACGCGCAGGGAATTACACACAGGGCTGGGCACCTGCAGGATTGAATCCCTCATCTGGAAACACCTCGAGCAAGAGGTCCCTTACAGGCTTTCTGCAAGAACCTTGTGTTCCTTGATGCCATTACTGAAACAAAATCCAAGTGCTTTAATAAGGAAGAAAACCAGCTTCGATGTTCTCCGAGCAGAAGACTCACCAAAGGGACAAGCAGGAGGATGCTAAGCTCTGGGCCTGGCTGGTGACACCAGCATGAAGCCAACGCATTGGGACCAAGCAGATCCTCGGAGCACGGACCTGCTGCCCTCCACCGTACGCTGCAGATATTGGTGAAAAAAACAGAAAAAGCAGGACTTTCTGCCCGGCAAACTCACGGTTGCCTCGCCGCCCTCGCCAGCGGAGCCGGTGCTGCTGCTGAGGCAGAGCCACCCGTCCCGGCTCACGTCGCAGCACGTCTGAATGTGCCGTTTGGCTGGGAACGTGTGTGCCACCCGCAGCTCCCGGCTGTCCCAGATCCTGGAAGCAACAAGAGCGGGGAAGGGGGACGCTGACACGTCATTGCCACGACCGGCTTCCCTCCGTGCCCTCCCGCACGCCCTCACTGCCATCGCTCACGGGCAGGCCCCCTCCTTCCTCCCAGCGAGCCGAGCTCCCGCAGCTCCCGCTGCATCCTTGCGTTTATCTGTCCTGGAGAAATCTCCAGCCAGAGCAGCTGGCCCGAGCCTTCTTTTTGATAAATCCTCCTTTTTACCCGCAGATGCCGCTGCCTACAGCCACGGCTGTCCCCACGCCATCCCCCCCCGGCAGGGAGCCCCGCTCGGGCACCCCGGCCCAGCCCCACGCCGTGCGGGCAGGCTGCGGGAGAGCTGTGGCACACAGCCCTTGCGCGCTGGCCTCTAACGTAACCCCCACGTGCTCCGGGCTGTCGCTCCCGTCTCTGCGGCCACACGTAGAATTCACCTGATCGTTTTATCCTCCGACGTCTGGACGACGTACGGCTCCCCGGGGACCCAGCACAGATGCGTGACCTGCGGAGAGGGAGGATGAGCAGGAGCCCAGCTCTGCCTGCAGCCCAGGCCGGTGTCCGCCCGTGCAGACGCAGCCACCCAGCTCCCTCTCCACTCCCTCCTCTGCTGCAGAGTGAGCGGGAAGCGTTGCAGGAAGTTTTTTTCTGCTTCCCAGCAACGCTGCTGCCCTACCAGGCTCAATCCCAGTGTAGTTACTGGGGGTGATGTGCAGGCAGAGAGGTGCCAGCAGCTCCACGGGATGCAGAGCCATGGGAACAGGGTACCACGGGCACCAGACGACGGTACCCATACCAGCTCTGCTGCTGGGCTGCTGCAAAAGGGAACGCAGCCCCCGCTGCACAGCGTGCTTCCGTACAGCTCGGAGTTAGAGCAGTAATAAATCGCTGTGTGTCTCCTGGTAGCTTTGCGCTCCTGGATTTGTCGTTACCCGGAGAACGGAGTAACCAGCCTCGAGCTGTGGTCTCCCCAGGCGCGCAGACAACCTGCGCAGTGCCTCGAGGGCTTCTCGCAGCACCGAGCTGAGGGCAAACTCGCTCTGCGCGGCTTCACGTGCGAAATAACCGAGTGGGCAGCGAGGTGCCATGACAGGGTGCAAGGAACCAGCAGCTCCTACCAGATTCCTGGAGATAGCGGCTCTGCCCAGACGCTCTCCGGTCTCCACGTCCCACTTGCACACGGTGTTGTCTCGTGATCCCGTGCACAGCTGGGAGCCATCTGCAACCACAAGTTAACGTGCACAAATTGTCACGAGAAGTTGTCAGGAAGTCCCTGGGGAACGGGAGCGCGGTGTTCCTCACCCGGGCTCACAGCCAGTCCGGTGACAACCAGGTCATGGCCTGGGAAGCGCTGCCTTGGCCCCGGAGTCCCGTGAAGCTCCCACATCAGCACCGTCTTGTCCCGGGATGCACTGAAGACTCTGCTGGAGTCAAGGGCAGAGGCGACCTGCCAAGGACAAGAGGGGAGAAGGCGGTCAGCAGCTGAGCTGTGCGTGGGGAGAGCCAGTGCTCCTGCTGCTGCTGCCGTCCCAAAGCCCGAGACGAGCAGAAACGTGGCTGGGAGGGCCTGACCTGACCTGCAGACTCTGTCTTGCCCATGCTGGATGTGCGCAGACCGGATTGCCTGACACACACGCTGCGACTCCTGCTTGCTTCTGCTCTGCTGGATCCCGGCCACAGGCAAACCCCGATGCAGCGGGGCCGGGGGAAAGCGCCTGGACTGAGTGCCATTGCTGCAGCCCCCACGGCAGCTGTGGGTGGCCATGGGTGGCCGTGCGTGCCGTGGGGGGACATCGGGCAGCAGGGCTGCGTGACCTGTCAGCAGGACCCATGTCCTCTTACTAACTGGGGAGCAGGATGGTGGATGGGTGTTTGCAGATCCTGTTCTCAGAAACCATTAATTTTATGGGAAAAACTCCCTTAAAAACCCAAATGAGCCCAGTGGACGGTTGCTTTGAGCACTGGGGTGAATGAAGCCCCCTTTGTCCCCCCGATACCCACAGCGGAGGGGACCCACCGGGGCTGTCCCTGGCCGGAGGCGCACCGGCCACGCTGTGCACACGTGTGCACACCCCTGAATGTTCGCGCTCCGAGTAGCGCGTTCGGCTTTGTAATCAGGATGCCAGAAAGAAAACCCCTGCCATTCCCAGGCGCGCCTGATTTGTGGAGCACCGACGAGTCTAGTGGAATGAGACCTGAAGAAAAGTGAATGGCATCTCTGAATCAAAAACTTGACCTCGTAATTCATCCTGAGTTTTTGCTACCCCGTCTCTTGGAGGGGAAGATAAGCGCATGTCTGAGCCTCCTGGAGCCCAGTTTGGTCTGGAAGCCACCAGCCCGTGCTGCTTCCCCGGACAGCAAAGCATCAGCTGGGACCTTGGGAAAACCCTAAAGCGTTCTGACGCCCCGGTCCCTCTTTCTGACGGAGCAACGCGACAGCAAACCCCTCTGTGGGTGACAAACCGTCCCTCCATCATTCCTGGTTCCCCGGTTTCTGACGGGTAACAGCACAACAGACCCCACCGCGCTCGCTCGGCTGCCGCTCACCTTGGTGACCTCCCGCTCGTGCCCGCCGAACCGCCGCAGCATGGCCCCGGATCTCCAGCGGCACACAGCCACGCTCTGCGGGGCACAGGGAGAGCCGTCAGCGGCGGCAGCAGGACAGCAGGTGAAGGAGGACTATGCACGTTCTTGGTTACGTTACACCGAGACCCGTGCACAGTCCAAGCTTGGAGAGGGCAGAGATCCTTCTGGTTTTGAGCTCCTATGGCAAATCCAACTATCTATAGAGCCAGTGCCAGGTTAAGATAAGAGAAGGGCCAGTTCAGTGATTCCAAGCCTGAGTGAGAGCATTTGATGTGATCTGAGCTCTGGAGGAGGTTATAAAATTTGATCCAACGTGCTTCAGCGTGTGCCCTCGCTCTAAGCTCATCTGTTCTTTCTAAATTCAGGAACTGACAAAGTTGTTACCACTCATAGAAATGCTTAAAGCTCACATTTAAACCACACCACCTTACTTTCTCCCACAGAATCATTAAGGTTGGAAAAGACCTCTGAGATCATCAAGTACAACCGCCACCCCAACCCCACCACGCCTGCGAAACCACGTCCTGAAGTGCCACACAGCCACGCAGTTTTTGACCCCCTCCAGGGATGGTAACACATTGTCCCGCCTGTGACTGTGCTCTGTGCCCGCTGGCGGGGGTACCTCACCTTATCCCTTCCTCCCGACACGCACAGGTCTGGCTCCAGCGCAGCCACGGATGTGACGGCGTCGGCGTGCACGGGGCCGTGCTGCTGGACGGCTCGAACAGGTCCCGTCTCTTCCGCGGAGCCACCGGCCCTGCAGCGGCAGAGAGACAGCGGCCGCAAAGCTGCGGTGACAGTCCCCGTGGAGACTGAGGTCTGGGAGATGTCACTGCTGCCTGGGCTGGAGAGTGACAACGTCTGCCCTTAGGGACCGAGGAGAGGCTGTGGATGGACAAGCGCATCTCCTGGACTAGGTGGGACGGAGCAGACCTATTCCACCTCTAGAGCTGCCAAGCGCTTTGATGTTCACTCAGTCCACGCTGGTGCAAAGCACAGAAGAAAGCTGCGTTTCGATCTCGCCAGCCTCCACTTCCCCGCACACCTTTCAGGCTCTGTGGCTCTGCTTTGCTCCGACACCGGCCGTGCCAGGCGCGTCGAGTCCCCGGGCTCCCACCCCGCGCTCACAGCGGATCTCCAGGCAGAGATCGCCCACCTTGCTGCCAGATACCGAATTATTTCACCTTGCCCATGAAAGCTGACGACAGCTTCTGAAGAGTTTGGATATCTGGGCCCAACGGCCGCCCCAGGAGCTGTTTGCCTGCAGAGCTCTGCCTTAGCCACCACAGAGCGTGACCACCGGCCACGCTCACCGGCTCAGCCTCTCCTGCAAGCTGCATTTTGGATTTCAGTCCCCCAAAGAAGCCGATCACACTTTAGAAGCAAGGGTCAAAAATGAAAATCTGATTCATACATTCAATAACGAAACTAAAACCACGTGCTCTCTATGTTCTCTGCTCACTTGCTGTTCTCCGTTCACTTTCACAACCGGTTTATTGACCGAAGACACGATCATCTGGGGTTGCCTTACCTGTATTTGGCGGTGTGGAAGCCGAGCTTACTCTGCAGGTTCCCCATGGCCCTGCCGACGAGCACGGCTCCCGCTACGAACAGCAGCGCTGAGCGAGCATCAGCATCTCGGGCACCTGCTGCTGGGACAGGACCTGGGGTGAGCAGGCACAGCGTCACCGGGAATCCGGAGAGGCTTCTGCTTGTTACACACATGGGAGAAAGTACTGATGGGAGAAAGTACTGACAACATCTGACCTGCATCTTAACGTCACTTAGAAAAAGAGGAAAAGCCTCTGAGGAGGGGAGACCTGGGTATCCCCAGCCAAACCTCTTGCTCGGAGCAGAACCAGCTTCGGAGGTGAGGTCACTGGGACCTTACAGCCGAGCTTTAAAACCATCCAGGCACGGCGAGGCCACAATAAAGATGGAGCTGCTGCCGGTAATTCTTCTAGCCTTACACCTCCTCCTCCTACCCCTGTATCTGCTCTTGACTTCCCTATTTCCCAGAGGTCACAGGGTCCCAGCATGGTCGGGGTTGGCAGGAACCTCTGTGGGTCACCCAGGCCC